GCGAGTTCCAGCATCTTGCTGAAGAAAAAGTGATAGCGGGATTCCAAACCTGGTTTGCGAAGAACTCAAGTACTAGTGTACAATGCAGAGTTCGAGATCAACATTCTGTAGATAAACTTGAAGACTTTATACTAAGGTTAATGATAATAAGTTTATTATTATAGGATTGTTATAAATATGTGATATACTAATATGCATGAAACTTATTAGAAACGTGATAAAACTTGACAAGCTAATAAAACCGGAAGTTTTACAAAAGATAACTTTATGTTTATGATCAAAAAGATTTAATTATGATTTTATCTTATTAAAATTTGTTTTACAACTTATTTATCTTTTTCTAAACTTCATCTTTATTAGGTTTTGCAAATGATTTTCTTAAATGATGCAATTCTACTCGGATTGTTAAAAGGATTTATATTCGAATTTGATCAATGTTTATCTTTTTGACAAAAACACTACTTAGTGTATGAACGTCTCCTATAAATAAGAGACCTCATATTCTGAGCAAAGTGTGAGTTTTATGCGCGAAAACCTTAGAAGCGCTTAAGAGTAAGTTTGCCAAAGTTAAGAGCTTTATCGTATTAAATTAGTTTCGGATTTTATGTGTAGCTTTCCAGTCACATATTAGAGTTAAACTTTTGTATTGTTTTGGGATTTGGGTGTGTGAGTTTAATTCTAATACACGATGAATGAGCTTCGTGTGTGAAGCTGTGAGGCTAGTACTCTAGGAATGCTGATCGGAACTTAAGTCAGGGACAGGGTCCTATCGTGTAGCAAGTTCAAGTTGGAACTTGTGAGATTATTATAGTAAGGTTGTAACTAGGAGTGTTATAGTGAATTGGTTGTGTACTTAGATTCCCTATTGGTCGAGGTTTTACTTCCAGTTAGTCCCTGGAAGGTTTCCTCGTAAATATCGCTGTGTGTGTTTCAAGTTCCTATAAGTTTTGTTTTAATTTCCGCGAAAAGTAAGCACTTAGGAACCTACTACAATTCACCACCCTCTTGTAGTAGTTCGTCTCAACTAACAGGGGCCGGTGGTAATGATTAAAGAGTCTAGCCTATTCGTGAACATGTCAAGCTTGTCTTCATCACAACTCGGTTCGTGGTGGTTTATCTTGGGTTTGAGTCTGACTCGAGTATTTAACAAGCTTATCTGGGTCATGCTAAGCTCACCTGGAAAAGCTTGTGATAGGCTCGATTATTCTTTCATTTATTATTATGTGCAACTTTAGGGTATTATTTGTGAGGTATGAAAATTTTAAAAGTTACACATAATAATTAACATAAGTAGTCACTAGGGGAAAAATGATAATGAGCATCGGTTCAAAACCCCCATTTAGCACCGGTTTTGAATCGGTCCAGATTTGAGGGATGCCAAAAACCAGGAGATTTTGCACCGGTTCAAAACCGGTGCCAAATTCTTAGATTTCGCACCGGTTCTTGCTGTGAACCGGTGCGAAAATCGGCCCAAAAAAATAAAAAAAAAAAACTTTTAGCACCGATCTGTTTCAAAACCGGTGCCAAAAATGCCCCAAAATAATAATATTTTTGTTTTATTTATTTTTGCAATTTTTTCACTTAAATTGATATAGAAACACTAACATATATATAAAGTTACATATTTTCATTTAAAAAGACTGTAATATTACAATTAACCAGCACTTCAACATCTTTATACTGTAACCTTGCTGGTTCTGCTGGTGGCTGCTACTGCTGTTGGTCCTTTTTGCTGTGTTGGCTGTTCTCGTGAAACTAAGTGTGCATCTTCTTATCATTTTCTTTCTGATACTCCTCAGTTCTATCTTGTTGCTCTAATTCCTATAGAGGAAAAAAAAAGGATCACAAAGAAATAACAAACTACTAGAATCCTTTCTCTTAACATCCAAAGAAAAATTCAAGTAGGAATCCTTAATCAATTAATCTTAGACTGTAATATGACCTAAAAAACAACCACAACAGAAGAGAGTAATGTTCTATAAGAAACACACAGCTATCTCAGGCCCATTCTTTACCATTTCTTTGTGCCTTATTTCTAGATCCTTCAACAAGTTCAGCCACATAGCCCACATTGGAATGTAGTTTCTTGACAACTGATCTCGGAATTGTTTAAAGACTGCATGTTTCCAATAAAAATAACTGATTCTGTTATGGGAAGAAGCCACGAAGGCAGACTTTCAGAACAACTTTGACCAAACACCTGTGGAAAAAATTAAAAAGTCAAATTAATTCAATATTATTTTAAACAAAAAACCATCAAACATGCAGTTGCAGAGAAATTTGAATCACTTTACTCTCATTGCATATGTACAAGGGTAAAAATAAAACAAAAATAAGCAGCCAAGATTGTATATCCCGAGCCTTCAAACTGGTAAATTAGCATCATGACTTGAAGCGGGTAGAATTGGAGTGTGTGTGTGTGTGTGTGACTGGACATTAGATGCACTTCAAGTTCTTACAGAATCATAATACAATTACTACAATCAAAAGAACAAAAGTTGTACAAACCAAAAAATTCTTCTTGCATGACACTTACTCAACAATAAAAATAGAATTTTAAATTGTATCAAGTCTAGACACCACAGCTCAGAATCAATTTTCACAACATTAACACTCTTTTTAAATATGCATGCATTGTCATAAAATGATTCAAAAACATCAAAATTGCATAATTAATTTCATCGAATCATCCAAACCAGCAACAATTTCATAGAAAATTAACACAAAAATCCTTTAACCTAAGAGAATACAAAATTGACACAAAAATTCTAAAAAAGCAAAATAAAATTCACAGAAAAATCAAAAGAATCACCAAAAAAAAATTAAAAATAATTACCTGACCTTTAACCTTGAGATTGATATGAGTAGCTTGATCAAGAGCAGGCTTCTTATCTTCATTAAAAGTGTTGTTACTTGGTATCAGTTTCTCCAGCCATCTTCCACAAATTTTGAACAATGTTACATTAATTAAACCCAAAATTTCAAAGCATTTAACATGAATAATTGGACCAAAGACCAAAATATAACGCAAAGCTAAATAACCCAGAAACCCTAACCTCAAATTTCTAATTTTTGGTTCGAAATGGATTCGAATCTGTTGTTGTTGAAGACGCACGCACATCGAACTGATTCAAAATAGACGCACCCAAAAACCCTAACCTCCAATATTGTAGATTCAAGAAATAGACGGCGGCGGCGATGATGGTTGTCCTTGGTTCGAATTGACGCCGATTTTCGAAGGAGGGCAGCAGGTCGTTCAAGGCCGATTTCTTCAGTAGATTAGGGTTTGTTTGAGGAGAGAGGAGAGAGGAGAGAGGAGAAAGATAAGAAGGAAGAGGGGAAAGTGGCGGTTATGGAGAAGGAGAGAGAAGGAGTTTGAGGAAAGTGCTGAGAGAAAGCTCAAAAACCCCTTTAATGGAGAACTTCGAGTACGCTTCAAATGAGGAGAGAGAGGCAGATGAGAGTGGAGGAAAGATCATGGAAATGAAAGAGAAAGAAAGAATATATATACAGACTGGGTTTTTTTTTTTTTTTCATTTAACAATAGCTTTCGCACCAGTTCGAACCAACCGGTGCGATTAACTCATTTTTCGCACCGATTTGGTTAGAACCGGTGCGATTAACTAATTTTTCGCACCGGTTTGGTTAGAACCGGTGCGAAAACTCTTTCCCTCAATCCCGCCTATTTTTTTCGCACCGGTTTTTAAAACTCGGTGCGCATTTGGCCGTGTTCATTTAAGTTTTTCTACTAATGAGTATGTAAACATATATATTTATCCTACATGTTATCATATTACACAATAATAAGTAATTTCATTATCAAACAATAAACTCGCAAAACTAAAAATTTAATATAGAAAACAAGTAAACTAAAAATAATTAGTCAAGCTTTTTCCGATCCGTGAACAGCTCGATATCGGCTTGAATACTAAGAGCTAAGGAACATTATGTTTTATTACGAGTGTTTGGTACAGAGGAGTTGAGTCCTAACTTTTGAAAGTGGAATGACAAATATATTAAAATAATTTGACTATTACTTGATGAATGATACCAATACGTGCTAAGTTTCGATTAATCCACTTTTACAAAAATATCGTAGACCTTGTAGTAAACGTGACGGGTGATAAAGTCTATAAGTGACAAAGGCATGCAGTCGCAACCTTAAAATGCCTCATCAAATCAATCAAAACTAAAGAAAACTTGGCAAAAATAATCCCTACTTAAGCCATTTGCTTAAATTAATCCCAACATTAGAAGTTATTTGCTTTCGTATGTCCCAACCGATCACCAAACTTAACATGAGTCAACACGTAACTGGTCTAAAATAAAATCAAATATAAAAGAAATTAAACTTCTTTTTCCCAGCCAACCACCACCGCCAACCACCCCCTCTCCCTTCCCTACCCCACCACCGAAACCACCCTACTTCCCTTCATCCACCACCGAACCCCATCCCTTGCTTCAACGCCGATAACCCTCCTACTTCCCTACCCCACCACCGAAACTGCCCTCGTTTCCTTCATCCACCACCGAACACCCTCCCTTCCCTCAACGCCGATAACCCCCCCTTCCCCCTCTCCACCATCGAAAACCACCCTCATCTTCTTCCTTCACCACTGAAGCCCCTTATCTTCCCCCATTGCCGATAACCCTCCCCCTCCTTATCTCGCACCATTGAAACCTTTCTCCTCTACACCGAAACGAAGAGGAGAAAAAAAGGAAGAATAACTTTATCAGTGGTTGGGTGCAGGGAGGGGGAGGGCAGGAAAGGAGGGCTACTAGAAGAAGGGGAAAGGAAGGGAAATTTTTGGAAAGGGGAAAGGGAAGACTTCCAAAAAAGGTGATCTTAGAGGTCAAACTAAAAATAAACCTTTTCATCTAGTAAATGGTCATATGAGATCAACAAAAGCTATTGACCCTTTTAAATTCGAATAATTTAAAAATAATTCAAAATTAGCATAATTTAATGTGAATGGTCTAAAATTAAGATTATTTTTTCTAATTTTTTCTTTAAACTATAAGTCTAAAAAACGTTTAAACTACTCATATAATCATATTATGAAACGAAGGGCGTAAGGAAAAAAAAAAATCATTGGAAAACTTTTAGGTAAGAAGCAAATTATGCATGCTCCATGTGGGTAGAAGGCATAGTGAGAAAATTACAAACAACCCCAACTAAACGACAAACAAACAACCCCAAAACCGAAATAAAATAAAAAATCACCCCCCCCCCCCCAAAAAAAAAATATTTCAAAATCCAAAAAAAGCAACAGAAATTGGAATTACTCACTTAAAAACCCCACTTCTACTTCTAGCTCCATCTCCCTCCCTTCCTCCTCCTACCTCACTCTCTCTCTCTACCTGCAAATCCCCCCTTCTTCTTCTTCTTCCGCCATTAAAATCAACCGACAAAAACTCCAACAACAACAACCCAGAAATAAAATAATGCGAACCCCTCTTCTTCTTCTCTTCCTTCTTCTTCATTTCCACTTCCATTTCATCAATGGCAAAACATTACCAGAACACAAAGCTTTACTGGGTATTAAATCCGCCATTACAGACGATCCACAAGCTTCTCTCTCCTCCTGGAACACCACCACTCACCACTGTACTTGGCCATTCATCACTTGCTCTTCCACCACCACCCACCATTCCAACGTCATTTCTCTCAACCTTTCTGGGTTAAACCTCACCGGAATCCTCTCCCCTGATATCGGCTTCTTAACCAACCTTCAAAACCTCACTGTAGCATCTAACGCCTTATCCGGCCCTATTCCGCCGTCTCTCTCTCTCCTCACTGAACTACGGTACCTTAATTTATCCAACAATAACTTCAATGAAACCTTCCCTTCTTCTCTCTCTTCCCTTAAAAACCTCAATGTTCTCGATGTTTACAACAACAATCTCACCGGGCCTTTGCCGTTGTCCGCCGTTGAGATGTCGGAGCTCCGGCATCTTCACTTGGGTGGTAACTACTTTTCCGGCGAGATTCCGCCGGATTACGGCCAATGGGAGAAGCTTCAGTACCTTGCAGTTTCCGGCAACGAGCTTGAAGGGAAAATACCGCCGGAAATCGGTAACTTAACCTCGTTAAAAGAGCTTTACATTGGGTACTTTAATGCTTACTCCGGTGGGGTTCCGCCGGAGATCGGGAACTTGACGGAGTTAGTTCGATTCGACGGTGCTAACTGTGGATTATCCGGCGAACTTCCGGCGGAGTTGGGAAGACTCCAGAAGCTTGATACGTTGTTTCTTCAGGTGAATACTCTTTCTGGGTCACTCCCAAATGAGTTGGGATCCTTAAATAGTTTGAAATCAATGGATTTATCGAACAATCTGTTTTCCGGTGAGATCCCTGTTTCTTTCTCTCTCTTGAAGAATCTAACTCTGTTGAATCTGTTTCGGAACAAATTGCACGGGGCCGTGCCGGATTTTGTCGGAGATTTACCGGAGTTGGAGGTTCTTCAACTATGGGAAAACAATTTTACAGGAAGTATCCCAGAAAAGTTGGGTACTAATGGAAAATTACAGCTTCTAGATCTTTCTTCTAACAAGCTTACTGGGAGTTTACCCCCAAATTTATGCAGAGGAGAGAGATTAGAAACCCTAATTACATTGGGTAATTTCTTACTTGGTCCGATTCCTGAGAGTTTGGGTAGCTGTAGTTCATTGACCCGGGTTAGAATGGGTGAAAATTTCTTAAACGGGTCAATTCCAAAGGGCTTGTTTGGTCTTCCTAAGTTAACCCAAGTTGAGTTGCAGGACAATCTTCTTACCGGAGGTTTCCCTGAGACGGGGAGTTCAGTAGCGGAGAGTCTAGGTCAAATTTCGATATCGAATAATCAGCTTTCCGGGAAGTTACCGGCTAGTATCGGTAACTTCTCCGGTGTTCAGAAGTTATTGCTTGATGGGAATAAGTTTAGTGGGAGTATTCCACCGGAGATTGGGAATTTGCAACAGCTTTCTAAAATTGATTTTAGTAGTAATAAGTTTACCGGTGAAATTCCGGCTGAGATTAGTAAGTGTAAGCTGCTTACATTCGTCGATCTCAGTCGGAATCAGCTCACTGGCGAGATTCCGAAGGAGATTACTGGTATGAGGATATTGAATTATTTGAATATATCGAGAAATCATTTGAGTGGTAGCATTCCTGGTTCAATTTCTAATATGCAAAGTTTAACTTCGGTTGATTTTTCATACAATAATTTCACTGGTTTGGTACCTGAAACTGGGCAATTTAGCTACTTTAATTACACTTCATTTTTGGGTAATCCTGATTTATGTGGACCTTATTTGGGTCCTTGTAAAAATGGGGTTGTTGGTTCTTCACACCAAAGTCATGGTAAAGGCTTATCTGCTTCATTGAAGCTGCTCTTGGTCATTGGTCTTTTGTTGTGTTCGATAATCTTTGCAATTGCTGCGATCATCAAGGCTCGTTCGCTTAAGAAAGCGAGCGAGTCTAGAGCGTGGAAGCTGACCGCCTTCCAGCGGTTAGACTTCACGGCAGATGATGTTTTGGATTGCTTGAAGGAAGATAACATTATTGGGAAAGGTGGTGCAGGGATTGTTTACAAAGGAAATATGCCGAATGGTGATCAAGTCGCTGTTAAGAGACTTCCTGCAATGAGTAGGGGTTCATCTCATGATCATGGGTTTAATGCTGAGATTCAGACTCTAGGGAAGATTAGACATAGGCACATTGTTAGATTATTAGGGTTCTGCTCAAACCATGAGACTAATCTGTTGGTGTATGAGTACATGCCTAATGGAAGCTTAGGTGAGGTTATACATGGTAAGAAAGGCGGTCATTTGCATTGGGATACAAGGTATAAGATCGCAATTGAGGCAGCCAAAGGGCTTTGCTATCTCCATCATGATTGCTCGCCTTTGATTGTTCATCGCGATGTCAAGTCCAACAACATCCTTTTGGATTCCAGCTATGAGGCTCATGTTGCTGACTTTGGGCTTGCTAAGTTCTTGCAAGATTCAGGCACATCAGAATGCATGTCTGCTATTGCTGGCTCCTATGGATACATTGCCCCAGGTATAAATAATTCTAATCTAATCTACATTTCCTTGCAATTTAGATACTTAAATCTACTTTTAATGATGATTATGGTGCCTAAATTTGGCCTGTTTTATACTTTTTGGTAGTACTATTTGTCAAATTACTTGAATTTTTGTGTACCTGATATTTGACTGGTGTAGGAGAATTAAGTTGTTGATTGTGATTTTGTTTGGATGTCTTTCTCAGTGCTGGTTTGTTGCTATAGCCTTTTTTTTGACTTAAATTTACAAAGGAAATACATTTATGATGCGTTTCCCACTTTACCTAATGGTAGTTCATATCAATTCTGTCGCTTTCATTATGCTTTTGCACAGTGATCTACTTTGTAACGAAATCCCCAAAATAATCAAAACTTACTTAATTCTGTAAATACTACGAGTACTAATTAGTCTCAGTGGGTCTTGTCAGTGACGAATTGATTAAATAATATAAGATTATCTTTGATAAGCCTCTAAAGTAGTCCACTTATCTTTGATCTTTTCAAAATGGATTCTTAGATTCTTGATATTCCAATATGTACTTGTTATTACTTATTCAATGAGTTTAATCATTTATTATTGATTAGCTATAACAACCAAACGAAACAATAGTTTGGCGTATTTTGGTTGCTAATTACTAATGGTTAATGATGCAGAATATGCCTACACATTGAAGGTTGATGAGAAAAGTGATGTTTACAGCTTCGGAGTGGTTCTCTTAGAACTCATAACTGGTAGGAAGCCAGTTGGTGAATTTGGTGATGGGGTTGATATAGTTCAATGGGTGAGGAAAATGACTGACGGGAACAAGGAAGGAGTCCTGAAAATCTTGGACCCTAGACTCCCTTCAGTTCCACTCCATGAGGTGATGCACGTATTCTATGTCGCCATGTTGTGTGTTGAAGAACAGGCGGTGGAACGACCCACAATGCGAGAGGTGGTTCAAATACTACTGGAGATCCCAAAACCACCAGCATCTGCCAAGCAAGGCGACGGCTCTCCCTTGGAATCACCCCAACAAACTACCACAGATGCCACAGATTCTCCTGCAAAGGAAGACCAGCCACCACCTAAATCGCCACCACCAGATCTTCTTAGTATTTAGTGTGTTCTACTCCTCTACACGAGTACTACTAGAATTTTCGCTACGTCTCTCGAAGTAATCAGAGTTGAGAGTTGGCTAGCTTGATTTTCAGTGTTTTTAGCATGTTTTTTTGGGTGGGTAAAGAATGATAAAAGGGGGTTTGGGAGTGTTAGACTGTTAGAGAGATTGGTTTGTGCTAACTAAGGTCTTAAATGTGTTTGCTTCAAGATTTTTCTGGGTTGTACAGTTTTGTATTGGTTGGTTTAGCCATTAAATTAAGGTTTCTACTCCGTAAAACATTTGTCTTCAATTTTTTTATTTTTGGCTACTACTTCCTGGTTTCATCACAATGCTGCTGGTTTTTCTGCTGTAACTCTGAAGTTTCTGATGCAGAGCGCTTACTCAGTGTCTCAGTCTCAGTGTACAAAAAATATACACAGGAGGAGAGAGAAAATAATGATGGCCCTGTCTCCTTGAGTCTAAAGATCGGTCTAATCCTTCAAAGTGGAGTTGTTGGGCACTCCACTAAGCAGAGCTCGCCTGTGTAGGCCAATTGGGCATAGAAAATTAGCTATACTCACCAATTCATTCGTTCGAAATTAATAGTCATTTTTTCAAATTATAATAGTATGGATCAACTTAACTACTCGTAAAACAAGTTTTCATCCTTGCTTCAAACAATGTGATAAATTTTTTTCCGGACATTTGAAAATAGTATTAACGGGACATCAAACTAGTACAAGAAACAGTTAAAGAATTAAATAATGCAGAAGAAAGGATAGGTCCTAGAGCTTTAAATAAACTTAGTTAGTGTAGAAGTGATAGTACCTAAGGACACTGGCTTGGATTGCCGTGATTATAGAGATTGAGATTCAAGGGCAGTGCGCCATTGCCTACCCATTACCGAGACAGTGGGGTGCTTGGAAAATAAATAACAACAAATTATTTATAAAAATTACAAAAAAAAAAAAAAAAAAATAGAAAATTTGATTGAATAAAGTGGTATGCTTTTAATATTAAAGTCATTTAAAAGAGTAGGACCAGTACATACTGGGATGGTCAAAAGAAAGGTGTAAATGCCTTGGGAGTATGATATCAGTTGCTCCATATTCAAAGTTGGTCGCCCTCTTCTCAACGACAACTATATTGTAATGCTAATAATTATAGTGTTAATATTATTGCTAATTAAACTTTTTTAACCTTTAATGATTCACCCATACCCGGATGGCCGGATCATATATAGGTGTGGTTTAGTGTTGAAAATACAAACTCTAATGTTGGTAGATGGTAATAAAATTTGTTTTTAGTTCACCTTGGTTTTAATTAGAGGTGTCAAAAACTGATCTAACTTAATCTGCACTGAAAAAATTTGTTATTGGATTAGATGGTATAAGATTATTACAATGGTATAACAATGTTATATTTTTACTTGGGTCGGATTCAATGAGGTCGGGTCGGATCTATTTCAAAATTAAGTCATGCTAAATGTTGTATCTATAAAAGTCGAAATTTGAATTGGTTTTTTTTTTTTAAGGTCAAATCAAGTCGTTTACAATGCTATTATTACTATCTAATCTCACCCGATGTGTTATAAGATTATTACCATATAGTCTGTTATTAGAGGTGTCCAAAATGAGCTTGTTACCTTATTATATCTGTTATAAGATTGTTGATTCTTAATACTTTTAAGTTTTACTTATTGATCTTGTTGACTAATCAAGTCATCAATATGATCCCATTAAAAGTTCGATTTTTGTGGCAACCGATTTTTATAACACGATATATAAAATAACTCAACAAGGAGATGATATTAACTCAATAATACAGAGTAAAGCAACAACAACCTGTAAATATGTATAGTCTAATAGACTAAGATAAATACTTCCTCCGTTATATTAATATTGTAACAATGGACTTTTTGCACTATTTATCATTCTTGTTTGACCATATAATATGATATATACGTCAAGCAAAATATAGTCATGCAGAATCTTGTTGGATTCGTCTCATAAAATACTTTCACAATATCAACTTTTTATAATTTTTATTATTACACAACTATAGATATTTAGCATATAAAATGTGTTTTGGGATGCGTAATTTCATCCTTGTTGCAATATTAATAGAATGGAGGAAGTATGTAACAAAAAATACATCATAACGTGATTATGAATTGATCGACAATGATCTGTGAATAAGCTGATATTTGAAACTAAACCTGTTATAGCCTAAATAAACCCGTTTTACAACCCTATTATGGCAACTAGAGTCAAATGTGACCCGATCCAATGACAAATCCAACCAAAAGTTAACCAAATCTAACAACCCTTTGATAGGTTTTTTTTTTGGGGGGGGGGGGGGTTTGGGAAGACTAGCATTTGGATATATTTAAACTTCTTTTCTAGTCCACTTTCAACAAACACTTTCATTAATCACAGATTTAAGCCTTGTTCAGCAATAGCTAGTTTATAGTGGTTTCTTCAAATTAAACACTATCTAATCTATCTTTAAATATAATGGCATTATAGTGGTTAGAATAGTGATTGGCGGCGCAAATAGTTGTTAAATTGAAGGAAAAAAGTTTATAGCTAAAGAAATCTATAAGTAAATAATTTACGGAACACACATACTTTAATTTATATTCATATCTAATTGTTACTTGACAAGGAAATGTATAGTTCTCTACATCTAGGTAGCAACTACGTACACAAGTACACAGCTAACAACTGCTTCTTCAACTATATCTTGCTAAGCAGAGCCTTGAACTAGTTAAATATGTATTCAAGCTAAGATATCTCTTTTGCCCCAACATTTCTCAACCAAAGATCACCATAAATGACTCAAGTAACCTTTAGACTCCCACTCTTCCCTTGATCTCATAGGGTATGAATGGTCCTACAAAATTCATTCGTTCATCCATATGTTAATGTCTAACTACAATCATTAACAAAATATAGTCATTTAAATATAAAATTGAGGAGAAATTATGTCCTTCCAAGGTCAATATATATGGCAAATCTAAATTCAACGTGGTCACCATCGATAAATTTTTTTTATGTTGTTTTAAAGTCTTGGAGGGGTAGGTAGGTTGGAGTCCTTTGGCAGACGTACGTACTTATAGTAAATAAAGCATGCAGCAAAGTTCCTAAATCTAATTTCAACAAAATCTATATTAATTGTTGATAAGTATATTAGGTGACTCGTACTTCGTAGCTTTGTCCGCCCGATCGGGCGGACATTGCCCGGTCTGACCGGGCGGAAGAAGAAGAGGTGCCTGGCAAATTCGTTGAAGAAGCTGCTCTCGCGCCCGACCGGGCGAGCCTTCGCCCGACCGGGCGAGCCTTCGCCCGATCGGGCAGACCTTGCCCGGTCTGACCGGGCGGTGGGGGTTGGATACGTTGAAGCATTCGTATGGAGTTTTCTTCTCGCGCCCGATCGGGCAGACCTTGCCCGGTCTGACCGGGCGGAGAAGGAAAAATACGGAACGCGGATTTTGCGGTTTTAGGTTATCTTATTTTATTATCTTTTTGCCCAAGTATCTTTTAATTAGGGATTAATATAAAACCTCCCTAATATCAGTATTAGGGTTAAGAGAGACAGAGTGAAAGCCGTTCTTGAGAAATACAAGAATCATCTTTGTAATCTTTGCAGTTTATAGTGAAATCATTCGATCTCGGTGCCCGTGGACGTAGCTATCACATCGATAGTGAACCACGTAAATTCTTGGTGTTGTTCTTATTGTTTGCATTGAATTTCTTTATTGTTTTCTTGTTTGTTTACGACCTTTGCTTCCGCTGTCGCACAACAATTGGTATCAAGAGCTCAGGTTCAATCCTTGGAGAGTTTCTTGAAGATAACAATGGCAGGAGATTCAACAATAAGAATTGAGAAGTTTACCGGGAAAAATAGTTTCGGGCTATGGCAAATTAAGATGAAGGCTCTGTTAAAACAACAGCAGATATGGCGTCCGTTGGCTCCAAAGAGTACTACTTCGGAGTCAGGAGACGGACCGACTGACTCGCAGTTAGAAGTTATGGAAGAGAAGGCACACTCTACCATATTACTTAGTCTTGATGATCAAATCATCACGGAGGTGGCTGATCAGGAAACGGCGGCTGGATTGTGGCTGAAGCTGGAGTCATTGTATATGACTAAGTCGTTGACCAACAAATTATTACTGAAACAGCGGTTGTTTAGCCTCCGGATGCAGTCAGGTACTTCCTTACGGGAACATCTAGAAAAACTTAACTCTATTTTGCTTGATTTACGTAATTTAGATGTTAAAATTGATGATGAGGATGCTGCGTTGATTTTACTTGTATCTCTACCGTCTAGCTTTGAGAATTTTGTAGAGTCTTTTGTTGTTGGTAAGGATTCTATAACCTTAGAAGAAGTGAAGGCAGCACTTCATACTAGGGAACTCAGAATGAAAGCTACGAGTGATAATGGGGATAATGGTAGTGGGTTGTTTGTTAAGTCCGGAAAGTCTAAAAAGAATAAGGGGTTTAACAAGGGGAACAATGCTGGGTCGGGTGCTGGAAACGGCAAGGATGGATCTAGTAAAACTACTACTAAAACATGTTATTACTGTAAAGAACCGGGTCACTTTAGGAATAATTGTCCGGTGAGGAAAAACAAGTCCCAGGCTGCTGTAGTTGAAGAGAAACCGAATGAGAGCTATAATTCAGAGGAAGATTTAGCATTAGTCAGTTCTGCTAGGTCTGATGATTTATCTGATAACTGGGTTCTAGATTCGGGGTGTTCGTTCCATATGTGTCCACGTCGAGATTGGTTTGATACATATGAACCTCGCAATGGGGGTATGGTTATAGTCGGTAACAATGCTCCATGTAAGGTCACAGGTATTGGTTCCATGAGGTTGAGGACTGTTGATGGGCGGAGGTTAACTTTGACTAATGTACGGCATGTTCCTGCTTTAGGAAAGAATCTGATTTCATTGGGTACCCTGGATGAATTGGGGTACAATGGTGTGTTTTCAGATGGGGAGTTGTGTATTTTCAGAGGTTCTGAGTTGGTACTTAAGGGTATCAAAAGGAACACCCTCTATGTTTTTGAGGGTGTTACACTGCCTAGTTCTGCGGTTTGCGCATCTGTATCTCACCAGGAGATGACTAAGATTTGGCACATGAGGCTTGGTCATATGGGGGAGAAGGGGATGCAGCTATTGTCCAAGAGGGGTCTTCTATCCGGGGTCAAGGTTGCCAACCTTGAATTTTGTGAGCATTGTGTGTTTGGTAAGAAACACAGGTCAAAGTTCAGCAAGGGTGCTCACATTA